TTGACAAAGAATGAAATTCAAAGTCAACCTGGGGCCTAATGTTGGGGATATTACTATCAGTCATGACCCGCCCATGAGGGACCGGGTCAGCCCCAATGGCGGGTTACGCAAGAAACCCAGTAAACATTCAAGACGATAGTTTATTAAACCTTATAGAAGGCCCAAGGGCCTGGAGGCGGCTTAGGCCCGATATTGTAAACCACCGTATGTAAGGAAAGATTTGTAAAGAAAGGCATGTAAAGGAAGCCACCGAGCCGGACACGATTATGAGCCGGCCGGGACTCTGTAGGCCACCAAGCGTCAACCCATGTATATAAGGGGACGACCCGGTGGCGGCTTAGGGCAAGAAACAACAAATCGATAACCAAGCCAGCGAGTTGAGCCTCTTGGTGATCGAAACCCCAGCAATACCAATCCCAACTAGACGTAGGCTTTTACCTTCATCGTAAGGGGCCGAACTAGTATAAAACCCTCTCATGTCCTTTGTCCCCATTAACCCCTTTAAGCTTCCTAGTGCGATGGCCCTACGACTAAGTCCTTGCTCTAGGACATCTGCCGTGACAATTCCACGGCACTATGTGACTTGATTAATTTAGCACTATTGTACATGCCCTTTATGCACGGCTATGCATGAGTTTGTTTAAGCGTTATATAGTTATTAGTTGATTTTTTGGAACCGGGCGGAACCCCTTTCCATTGCAAATGAACGGAAATACAACATTTCAAGAAACATCATCAGGGAGAGGGGAAGAGGTAGAGGAAGTTCGAGCACTGTCAAGAAAACCACTACATCCGCCCGCCTTCGAAACCGATGCCATGGGGCGAAAATCTGAGGAGTACAAACCATCAAAACTAGCCCCATTACATCTCCAAAACCAAAAGGAGAGCAGGAGAGCTAGTGCAACAGTACACATAGTTAGAGAAACCTCACACCAAGAGCCAAGAGAAAAGCTAACTAGAACGAAGCACATCCTAGAGACCGCCATCTACTGTCCTTCAATCGGACATCTGGCTGAATCGCATAGCTTCATAAGATGCATAGTGCTTGCCCTCACCATCTCAGCACCTGTGCGGAGAGTTTTCGCGTCCTTGCCTTGTTGTAGACCTACTCAATATAACAAGAAAGGACACATGGATAAAACAACTTCAGATGGGGATTTAATCTACTTCTTCTCAAACATAACACGGTTACGGGCCAGCCAAATTTCCCAGGATATGGCTGCAAGTCCCACCGTATAAAACTTCTCTCCATCAGGGAGGAAAGTCTGGCACCAGGCAAAATATTGCCAATAAGTATTAGGACAGCTCTCGGTTCCCAGCACAACTCCAAGCTATCGCCAAACAATTCTAGCAAGATGGCAGGTAAAAATAGATGCCGGGAAGTTTCTAACTCGCTGCAAAAGGAGGGACACGAATTATCGAGCCACTTTTTCTTCTTCATCACCTGCCTGGTAAGTACAACAACTTGTGACAACCGCCACATTTTTTTATCTTGAGAGGCATCCTAGCTTTCCAAATCCATTTAAAGTTATACCCACTAAGGGGTCTCTCAAGCCATTTGTACATAGACTTTGCCATATATTTACCATTGTTGTTGAGCCCCCAGTAAACAAGATCACTATCACCGATAGGTGGATATCAGAGATAGTTTTGCACATCGAATCCCACTGCCCAGTCATATCAGAACTGAGTCTCCTTTGCAAAAAGGTAGCAACATCTACAGACCGAAAGGTACTCATAGTACAATCTTGAAAGTTACAAATGTCAAAGAGCATAGGGTATTGAATCTGAAATGGGATCAGCCCATTAATAGAGTCTTTCTAGACCCTAGCGACGTTCCCAGATTCAATCCTAATTTTCTTACCAACCATGTAAAGATCTTTAATTTTTAGAAGGGCTTTCCAACAGGGGGGATCCGAGAACCTCAGACCAACTAAAGCTACAGTTTTGTTTTTCAGATATCTGGCACGGACGATGTCCTGCGAAATCCCATATTGGATCTCAAGCTTCCACCACCATTTGACCATCAAGTTGATGTTCTGTTTTCAGAGGTCCTTAACCCCTAGCCCTCCTTTATCTTTCGATCTACAAATTCTCCTCCATTTGAAAAGATAGTATCTCCTTTTTTATTACAAGCTGCCAGAAGAACCGTCTATTGTGCTTGTCAAGTTTTTCAATAAATGTTTTGTTCGTGAGCCACATAGACATATGATAAAGAGAGGTTTGAGTGAGGACATAATCTAAAAGGGTGTGCCTCCAACCCACAGATTCGGCATTTCCTACCCAGGCATCAAACTTTTCCGGGTACTTGCCAATAATAAACTTCCAATCCGAGTTTTTAAGCGTTGTAAAACTAACAGGCATTCCAAGATACTTAAGAGGGAAGCTACCAATATCGCACTTGAATAGTACTGCATATTATTTCACCACAATATCATCTTCCCCACTGTTAAGATCTCACTTTTCTGAAAATTAACCCTAAGCCCGGACATCATTTCAAATATGTAGAGCAGCAACTTCAGATTAACTGCCTTGTCAACATCATGGTCTAGGCAGATGTATTGAAGTAGGGCCACACCATTAGGGATGAGGTCAGGTGCCATGACCACCACCAGGTTATTTTTTGGGGCATTCTTTATCATCTTAGTGAGGCTATCAGCATCTAGATTAAAGAGAAAAGGAGAATGGGGGTCACCTAGACGCACTCCTTTGGCACTTTGATGCTAACCGTGCGATTATGGAGAATCTGCTTGATCCATCCACACTAGGTATCACTAAATCCTCGGAGTTTGTGACATTCGAGGAGAAAATCCCAATTCACCTTATCATATGCTTTCTCAAAGTCCAATTCCAACACCACCCCAATTCTTTTCTTCACATGGGTATAGTTCATGAGTTCATCCATGATATTTCTTCCTTTAACAAAGGCATTGTGCCATTCTGGGTAGGGCTAATTAACTTGTCGGCATACTTAGCTACCTGACGATCTAACACCTTAGTTAACAGCTTATTTGGACAGTGCAACAGGCAAATAGGCCGGAATTGTTGAATCCTGCCAGCCCCGGATATCTTGGGAAGGAGGGTGATAACGCCATAGTTGAGACGCTGGACATCCAGTGTCCCATTATGGAAGTGCTTGAACAAGGACATAATATGGTCCTTGACAATCTCCCAGCATGCCTGATAAAAGTCGGCAGGGATATTATCTGGTCCAGGGGCTCTATTAGAGTCCATTGCAAACAAAGCTTCCTTCACTTGATTCTCACTAAACTCTCTACACAGATCGATATTGTCATCTTCGTTTAACCACTCGATCGTTTCAAGATGAAAATGATTACCAGGAGCCGGTTATTAGTTGATGGTGATATGGTGTCCAAAATAAGCAAGTTCCGGTTTGTATGTCATGCATGCACGTCAAAAAAAGGTGAGGTAGCATGGACGCCGGCCGGCCAACCAAACTCCTTTCCTTTCCTCTCCACTCCTCCTTTGGCGGTGATATTATAGGAGGGTATCAAACAGTTGCATCCACGTCCGTACGTCGGCATTGAGATTTGAGAGAGAGGCCGGCGGCAATGGCGCGGACGACGCTCCTCCTCGCCGCACCACCACCACCTGCTCTACCACACGTACTGCTCCTCCTGCTCCTCCTGGGCATGGCCGCCGCCGACACCACCTCCACCACCAGCAGCACGGCCGCCGACACCTTCTACACCACCACCAGCAGCAGCGAACCGACGAGCGACCAACAACAGCAGCAAGCGTCGTCGTCATCATCATCGTCTGCAGCAACACCATCATCATCGTCTCCAGCAGGAGCAACACCATCATCGCCGTCTCCAGCAGGAGCAGAAGCAGAAGCAACACCATCATCGTCCTATCCAGCAGGAGAAGCAGCAACACCATCATCGTCTCCAGCAGGAGAAGCACCATCACCGTCTCCAGCGGGAGGAGGAGGAGGAGCAGGAGCACCACCGCCCCCGCCGGGGCCGGGGTTCTACAAGGGCATGTCCCGCGAGTTCGTGAACGAGCACAACAAGGTGCGCGCCAAGTATGACGCGCCGACGCTGGCGTGGGACAAGACGCTGGCCTTGTACGCGCGGCGGTGGGCGGCGCAGATACAGCAGGACTGCGACCAGGCCCGGCACTCGCCGCAGGCCCATCCGCTGGGCTACGGCGAGTGCTTCTTCGTGGGCAACAACGGCACCGCGGAGGACGCGCTGTGCAGCTGGGAGAGGGAGGAGTACATCTACGAGAAGGGCACCAAGCACTGCACCTCCGGCCACGACTTCCGCGACTGCGGCCACTTCGTCATCATGATCGAGAAGACGTACCACTACGTCGGCTGCGGCCGCGCCCCCTGCCTCACCGGCCCCCGCCAGGGCCAGTTCTTCATCTCCTGCAACTACAGCGCCGTTAGGCCCAACGCCACCACCGCCGGCGCCTCCAACCCCTCCTGAACCACCACCGGAGCCGGACCACCATCATCCACCTTTTTTTACCTACCTTTTCTATCTATCTAGATATCTGCTCTACTGTATTATATATTACCCTTCCTTCCTTCCTCCCTCCCTCCCTCCCTCCCTCACATGCAATGCATTGCAATGCAAATGTGTATCATCTACACACATACATAGTGTATATTTACTACGGAGTACCTGTGTAAAAAATCGATTTCAATTTCCTTTGGGCGATTTCTCTTCTCTGCTGCCAACTAAATGGATCATCATAATATCAATGTAGCTTCCAACATCAATTGCCTACTTCATTCATTCATTCATTACTTACGTGCACAGAGATGCATGTATCACTCTCTCATACAAGAACATGACCGGTCCATCGACGCAGCAAACCCTGTTTTTTTTCATCATACAAGGGTCCATGATATGAGATATGAGATATGAGTGAGCGATCAATCGATTAACCTACGGTACAGATTGACTGAGCAACATCAGCTCCGGCTTGCGCGATCAGGATCAGATCGATAGAACATTTCATCATCTTCAGTGGATGACTGGCTTGAGGGGCTGCGCTCTCAGCTTCGACATGTCCAGCGCCGCGTCCAGCTCCTCGTCCACCTCACCCACCACGCCTCTGCATACGCAGTCAACAAACAACTCCATTTTTACATACATACATACAAAAAATTCAGTTAATGCATACATGTACAGAAGTGAAAGGGGCACGCACATGTTATCACCCCTGATGATGTACAGACCAAGGACAAGCTGCTGTACTCCCTCCTGCAACACAACACGGCGTCTGTCAGCAGGGAGATTGACAGGGAGGGTATAAAACTCAACAAGAAGAGTCAGTGTCCAAGGAACTAGTACGTATAATTTATTTATGCAAGAAAGACAGCAAGTCTTGTAGGATTTCCATATGAAAACCTTGATGATTACAAAAAGGAGCCTAACAGAAATACCGAAACTGGAAAACCAATCACCGCATGGGCAGACAGAGGAAAAAGGATGGGGCTGAAAATTTGATTTCATAAAAACCGGGGCAGCAGAGCACACAGAGTAAGCTTACTAACTAGCATGACACCTTGTGAACAAATAAGAGACCAGTAGAGTTATAATAGAAAGCTGGACTGGTCCTTGGTCCTAAGAAGATGATGTATACATGTACATATGGGGGGATGAAGTGTTGTGGTGTTGCATGGTAAAGCGTGGCACGGCTAGAACGAGGATTCCTCCTTCCTTATGTAATCACATGAGAAAAAGCTAAGCTTGGTAATTCTGTGCAGCCGCAAGGCACAGAGAGGATCACAAGCATGTACGTACTAGTTTACAGAGGGAGTACATGTTTGTGGATACTAGAACAGAGTGAGTGTGTGTTTTGTTTTAGCGGATTTGATTTATTATTGTTTCTCATCATCACATCACGGCAGACAGAATCAGGGGACATTGTAAAGATAGATAGACTAGAGGCAGGGTAAACAGAGCATGATAAGTAAGTCATTTTGGGGGAAGGAATGTGTTGTTGGATCATGAATTCATGATTGATGATACAAGCAAGCACACAGGCAGGAAGCATAGCATAGCATAGCATGAATGAATGAATTATTTGATTTGTAAAACAGACAGAGCAGACAATTGATTGGTGTGTGTTTCAAGTAAGGCAAAGACAAGCGTAAGAGAATTACAAGCGGCGATGGATTTTTGTGTCACATGACAGCAGCGCAATGCGATGTGCCTCTATCTACCTTAGTGAGGATGTAAGTAAATACAGTATATGATGACGATGTATTGGTATTGGCAGTTGAACTAAAGAGATAACCTTACCTTAGTGGAGTAGACCCTCTCGTGGGACTCGTCGAGGATTATGTTGGTGGCCTGGTCGAACCCGCGCAGAGTCCCCTGATTGAGTAAAGAAGAAATATTTTTTATTTTTATTTATTTTTGTTATGAAGACAGCAGAGCAGAGGCAGCAATAGCAATAGTAAAGAAGAAAGAAAGAAAGAAAGAAAAGAGCTTAAATTACCACGATGTTGCGGCCGTCGTTGGTGATGATGGAGATCACCTCTGCATACATACATACATACATACATACATAAAGAAGGAGAAAAGAGTTGAGTGGACGAAGAAATCCAAGGAAATTGAAACAAGCTACTCCTCTTGATTTGAAGGAGTCCTTCTTTAGCATAGAGAAGGGGAGTAGGAAGGAAGGAAGGGCAGGGAGACTCACGGTCGACGAGGGACTCGAGGGTCGGCCCCACGGACGCCATCCTCTCCCCTTCTCTCCTCCTCGGGCTTGGGCGGCGGTGGTGGAATCGAATCGTCCTCCTCGGGCTTGGGCGGCGGCGGCGGAATCGAATCGTCCTCCTCGGGCTTGGGCGGCGGCGGCGGAATCGAATCGAGCTAGGGTTCACTTCATCAGACCAGACCAACAAGAAAGAAAGAGACTTGGTGGGCTGGGCCGTCTTCTTCTGTTATTATTAGCAAGCAACCGGCCCAAACAGTCTTTCCCTCCCTCCCTCGTCTTCTTCTTCCTCCGCCGCCGCCGCCACCCTCCCCTCCCCTCCTCTCCTCTCCCCTACAGAAAAGAAAAGAAAAGGAGAGAGATGGACGCCGCCGGCGGCAACGGAAGCAGCAGCAGCGTGATGTGCCAGCTGGTGAGCGCGGAGGGGGAGCAGCTGGGCGCGGCGCTCTACCTGCCGCACAACGTCGGACCGCCGCAGCTCCAGGACATCGTCAACCAACTACTACACAACGTACCTACTTCTTGTTGCTTCTTCTTGCTTCTTGCTCTCTTCTTTTTCCTACCTACCTCACCTGATGCAAATATGCAATGCAACGCAACGGCAGGAGGACAAGCTGCCCTACGCCTTCTACGTCGGCGACGAGGAGCTCTCCGTCCAGCTCGGCGCCTTCATGCAACGCAACAACGGTCAGTCAGTCAGTCAGTCAGTCAGTCAGTAGAATAGTAGTAGCATATAATCAACAACCAATCAATCTTCCTTCTCAAATCAAAATCAACAATTTGATTTGATTTGAAGCCACCGCGGAGGTCACCCTGCGCATCGTCTACCAGCCGCAGGCCGTCTTCCGCATCAGGCCCGTCAACCGATGCTCAGCCACAATCGCAGGTCAGTACGCTCACTACTTCCATCCAATCCATGATTCTGCTTCTCTGCTCTGCTCTGCTTCTTTCCGGTCAGTAGCAAGGAATGATGACAATCTTACCGTCTGCCTGCCTGCAGGCCACACCGAGGCTGTATTGGCCGTTTCTTTCAGCCCCGACGGGAGATGCTTGGCTAGTGGTTCAGGCGACACCACTGTTCGCTTCTGGGACCTCAGCACACAGACCCCATTGTACACATGCAAAGGTCAGTTTCTCAGCTTGAATTCTTTCTGCCCATTCTCTATGCTAATAACTATGCTTGTTACATTCTGCTGCTCATATACTGGAGTGATGGGAATTCATCTTTCTTTGCCTCTGCTAGTGCTAGCTCTCTCTTGTAACATTAATTATGATGCTAAAATTTGATTGTCTTTCTCATCTCTTCTGGGACTCTTATCACTCTTTCAGCTAGTTCCATTCGCACATCTGCGCTCCTTTCAAAGTGTTATGAAATAACCCTGTATTTTGTGAGTAGGCCACAAGAATTGGGTTCTCTGCATTGCATGGTCACCTGATGGGAAACATCTTGTTAGTGGAAGCAAGTCAGGAGAGCTTATATTATGGGACCCCAAAACAGGCAATCAATTGGGCACTCCTCTTACGGTAAGATTGCAGCACATTTCTTTATTTTCGGACATCTAGAATCTACTGTAAGATAGAATAAGATTTTATCTCATTTCTTCATTTGCACATCACACTCCATTATATCCTAATCATCAAGTGAGAATTTGCTATGAACCATTTACCAAAATAAATGCTAGTTAGCAAGAACTACAAGTTTGTTTGTTTCGTACAAGACTGAATTTCCTAACTCAGATTGCTAGAAAGAAGATATCCATATCGAATTTATTTCTTGCATATGTTTTTCCACTCTTGCTACATCTAGTCATTCATTCTGGTGTTTTTACAATAGGGACATAGAAAGTGGATTACTGCTGTATCTTGGGAGCCAGTTCATTTGCAATCTCCTTCCCGTCGTTTTGTAAGTGCAAGTAAAGATGGCGATGCACGAATTTGGGACATTACCACAAAGAAGTGTGTTATTTCCCTTTCAGGTCACACCAATGCTGTGACCTGTGTCAAGTGGGGTGGAGACGGTTTGATATATACAGGGTAAGATTATTACTTGGCTGTCCTTTTTCTTCTTGCAGTAAAAGGAAACTGTATACGTGCTATTGTGTAGTAAATCACTATTGTTTGGCCCTCTGATACATGATGTGTGGAAGACGATATATAAACTTAACTGTATAATAATACTCAGCGTTTTCTCTTTGGATAATTGTTGTCAACAAGAACAAAATGTACCCTGTAGCGGTAAGCATATATGTTGTTGCGGGTAGGTTACTTTCGCTGGTTCATCAGTTCCTTGTTATTTTTACTTTTATTCGCTCTTAAATCCTTATAGCCACAATTGTTGGCAAAGCGGTTGACTGACTCTCCCAGCACCCTTGATGGCTAATGCCATTAACTGAAAGCATGTTCTGAATCACTTACGTCCTAGACCGCAAGTGTCTAGTGTTGTCGTGAATGGCGTTTGTGAATTTCCCCTCTTCAGGTAATATATTACATATACAATTCTGAAAATAATGTCTTTCTACTGCAGTTCTGAAGATTGTTTAATCAAAGTATGGGAAACTACTCAGGGCAAGTTGGTCAAAACACTGCAGGTAATGTTAACAATTCCAAGCATATTCTTCTGCAAATGCTTATGCACAATAATGAAATCAATGTTCTTTTTTCAACCCACTGTATGTATGCCTTTCAAGTCATGTCATGTTGTTATTATCAAAGTAGGATCTGTCCAACTTGTGTAACTACATTAATGGCCAAGAACATGCCCGGTCAACTTTCTGACTAAATGTCAACACCAATCCACCTTTTCTTGATTGGCTATGGGAATGAATAACGGTATTGAGATTGGTCAGAAATTCCCTTCATAGCCGTCTTTGTCATCTCAATAATTAATCATATTCTAATTTGGTACGTTAATGGTGTCACTATGTTTGCTTAGATATTCAAAAATTGCATTTACAACACACAGGGATATTACCCGAGTTGCTTGGAAGATTTCTTCGCAGATGAGAATTCTTGTAGCTGAATGTGTTTAGCCAGTCTCTCACCCAACTTGTTGTCACAGTGTAAAAATTGTTAAACAAGTTTTATTTTTTTCAACCAATGAGATATGATGAAGTCACAGTCTTCAAGTGAACAGCTTGTAGAAGTGTCTTGTCCTTTGCAAATTCTGTGTTCCGTTGAGCATATAACTTTCATCTTCAGTAGGGTGTCAGTTTATAACGTTCATGTTCAGCCCTGTTAGAAAGAGGGTCATATTGGCAAAAGTTTAGGACATAACTGGGCGTTAGGTTCCCATAGACCTCCATCTCAAGGTATAGGCTTTGAACTCAAGTATCTACTAGATTGATCTGCCAACCTGTCTAGTTTCATGGGCGGAGTGGAACACTTGAGGAGGCTGACCATAGCGCACTAGACTATCAGATTTTGGTCATGCTGGGATGCTAGCCATCAACAGAATAAGCTCATGTTTATGGCCTGTATGCTAATATCAACAGCATATCAGCCGACCATGGTTATTTCACTTGCTCTTCTATGCATTTAGACTATCAACTTTGATTAATCGAACAAATCCACCTACGAAAAAATTCCACTGTAAAAAAGGGTTTATTCGATACATGCGACATCTTTATTGGCATTTATTGATCTACCCAAGTGTTGGCAGCGGCATTTCTGTAAGCTTTTTTGCAGTTCTTTTTTTCAAATAATCAAAGTTGGCAATGGCACATATCGAATTAACCCTAAACACTTTTGTACCTGCATGCTATGAGTAGATCTTGCTCTGGTTTCTCAACTCTGCTATTCATTTGTGTTTTAATATTTAATATGTATGTTGTGACCAATATACCAGCAAATACCAAGTAGAGATCCTTCAGTTGTGAGCTGTGAGCTCTATTGTGGGTGAATTGAGTTTGTCGAATGCTTTTCAACTGATTTTCATTGTGATTTTGGCGTGCACTTGGTGTCGTGTTCCATGAGTTGTTATCACACTATCAAATCAGCGATCCCATTTTTTTGTGTGGTGAAACCATCCCATATTAAGTTTTTGCTATGCATTTTTGACATAATTTTATTTTATGTATTCAGGGTCATGGGCACTGGGTAAATTCGCTTGCCTTGAGCACAGAATATGTTCTCCGCACTGGGGCATATGACCATACCGGCAAGACATTTTCAAGTCCAGAGGAAATGAAAGAGGTAAGTTCACGTGTGGCACAATTTGTTTAAAAATTTATTATGCTTGCCGGAACGATAAATTAGATTTTACTTAAGCTGCTTGACATTATTCTTATGGTAAAACTTTGGAAGCGAGACTGCACAACTGACAGCTTTGCATGTTTAGGCAGCTCTTGCAAGATATGAGAAGATGAGGGGTAATGCTCCTGAGAGGCTGGTCTCTGGTTCAGATGATTTTACCATGTTTCTTTGGGAACCAACGATTAGCAAACAGCCGAAAGCTCGCATGACTGGTCATCAGAAGGTATAATTATGATATAGTGTTTTGCGCTCCCCCACCCCGTGTAACCTGGACATAACAATGAATCTCTGACGTTCGTCGCATAAAAAATCATTCAGAAAGAAAAGCAGAGCAGTGTTGAAATTGTTAGAACTTATGGCTTTGCATTCGTGCAAGGCAAGGAGGCAACTCATTTGGCTGAAGCTATGCTTACAACTGTTTGCGCTGTCTGTTTTGCTGTGTGCACGCAGGTGGTGAACCATGTCTACTTCTCCCCTGACGGGCAGTGGCTGGCGAGTGCCTCCTTTGACAAATCGGTCAAGCTGTGGAACGGCATCACGGGCAAATTCGTCGCAGCTTTCCGAGGGCATGTCGCGGATGTGTACCAGATCAGGTCAGCAGCAGCAGCAGGAGCCTTTCTTCTCTAGTCTAGAAACATATACATTGCCAGTTTAGTTTCACATGGATATCTGATGCCTATAACAATCTAACATGATGGTTGTCTTTTGTATAGCTGGTCCGCCGACAGTCGGCTTCTGCTGAGTGGAAGCAAGGATTCGACCCTAAAGGTATGTAATGTTATGTTTTTGTTGGCATTTCATCATGTCATTAGAGTAGAGAAGAAGATGAAGATGAAGACAGTGCATTTTGTTCTTGTGGATTGGTTGATGACATGGACATGGACATGAATCAGGTGTGGGATATCCGGGCGCGCAAGCTGAAGCAGGACCTGCCAGGGCACGCGGACGAGGTGTACGCCGTGGATTGGAGCCCCGACGGCGAGAAGGTTGTCTCTGGTGGCAAAGACAGGGTCCTAAAGTTGTGGATGAACTAAGCTTCATTTCTCTTGTAGTAGTAAGTATCTACTCCCTCCGTTCCTAAATACTTGTCTTTCTAGGCATTTCAACAAGTGACGACATATGGAGCAAAATGAGTGAATCTACACTCTAAAATATGTCTACATACATCCGTATGTAGTAGTCATTTGAAATATCTAGAAAAACAAGTATTTAGGAACGGAGGGAGTACTACTCTACGTAGTAGTCTGTTGGGGAGCAGAGACAAGCTGGTGTGTTGGTCGGATCAACTAGAAATGTGATTGATGATCAATTTATTGAAGCATGTGGATGATGAACGTTAATTAGTCTACTACAGTAGATGCTTGTGTTGATTTTATATAATTTATTTACTACTATACTAGTAGAGTAGTAGTAGTAGTAGTATTTAGGTTTGGTGATTATTATTATTTTTTGATTGATTGAAAATAGACAAAGTTTGACTGTCGTCTATTTTTGGTCCATCCATATCCATATATAGAAGAAGCAAGCATACAAGGCAAGATGGCCACAAAATGATTTAGCGGTGCCACGCTATCTATATGTTTCTCCTTCCTTAGCTATTTCCTTCCTCCCTCCCTTACCTATTTAAGCCACTTGCCCTCAACAAACAAACACCCATCCAATTTCATCATCCAGATCAATGGCGTCCCAAATGTCATCGGCATGGGCCGCTGTCGTCGTCATCGTCTCCTCCCTCCTCGCCGTCGCTCTCTCGCGTAAGTGTCTCTTTCTTTCTTTCTTAATAATAAAAGAAGAGATGATAATTGGTGGAGTGGAATTGCATGCGATGATGAAGAAAAGAAGGATTGAAATGAAATGCAGATGATGAAGGTGGTGGGCCCAGCTTCGGGTACACGCCGGGGACCCCCGACGGCCCGGAGAACTGGGGCAAGCTGAGCCCGGCATACAAGGCGTGCGGCGACGGCAAGGCGCAGTCCCCCATCGACATCGTCATCGCCAACGCCGTCCCCAACCCCAACCTCGACACCCTGACCCGCGTCTACGCCCCCTCCAACGCCACCCTCCACAACACCGGCAAGGACATCGTCATGAGCTTCGAGCAGGGCGGCGAGCCCGTCATGCCGGGCTCCATCAACGTCACCACCGCCGACGGCACCGTCAAGGAGTTCAAGTTGAAGATAATCCACTGGCACGCGCCGGGGGAGCACACCGTCAACGGCAAGCGCTTCCCGCTGGAGCTCCACATGGTCCACGTCGACGACCAGGACCACAAGGCCGTCATCGGCATCCTCTACGAGATCGGCAACCCCGACCCTTTCTACGACCAGCTGACGGAGAAGCTGCGCGAGCTCAAGACGACGCCCACCGTGGCCGCCGGCGTGGTGGAGCTCAAGTCGCTGCAGAAGCGGACGGGGAGCTACTTCCGGTACATGGGGTCGCTCACCACGCCGCCCTGCACGGAGAAGGTGATGTGGAACATTCTGGGCAAGGGCAGGGAGCTGAGCCAGGAGCAGTTACAACTCATCACCGCGCCGCTGCCTCACCAGGACAACAGGCCGCCGCAGCCGCTCAATGGCCGCCAAGTCGCCTTCTACAACCCGCCAAACACCATCATCTCCATCCAATCCCTAGTACTCCCTCCCTAAACTAATATAAAAGCTTACATTTGTTTACAGAGGGAGTACAATAAGCAAGACATAGTACGTACTCCCTCCTCGGTTCCACAATATAAGAACGTTTTTGACACTATACATGTCAAAATGAGTAAACATCTACGTACATACCAAAAGGTGTTTGAATACGTACAAAGTTGAAATAAACATACTTACATACTAAAATGGGTATATATATATTTTTTAATTTCAATTTTGTAGCAACCGTCCAAATGTACTTTTGGGATGTGCGTGCACCACACCACAAGGCAGTCAATGCTATACGTATGTATCTCTACTCTCAAAAAAAAAAAAGTGGTGGGTAGTGGGCCAACATCTACAAGACAGCCAGGTCCGAGACGACAACTTGCATGCGCTCGACCACAGACAGAGATAACCACCAGGACGCAGCGGCCACGCAAACGATTGAGGGCTTGCTCATTGAGGACGTACGTACGGCTTCCACCCAAACGATTGCTGGATTGCTGCGGCGGCCACAACATGCATGGCTAACAACAAGGGCCACTAGGCACTCCCAGACATACGATGTCAACAGCATGCATACTCGCGGACGGCGGCCGGCGTGCTCAAGGCCAGTGCTTGCGGAAGGCGGTGTCATGCATACTCGCGGACGGCGGCCGGCGTGCTCAAGGCCAGTGCCTGCGGAAGGCGGTGTCATGCATACTCGCGGACGGCGGCCGGCGTGCTCAAGGCCAGTGCCTGCGGAAGGCGGTGTCATGCATACTCGCGGACGGCGGCCGGCGTGCTCAAGGCCAGTGCCTGCGGAAGGCGGTGTCATGCATACTCGCGGACGGCGGCCGGCGTGCTCAAGGCCAGTGCCTGCGGAAGGCGGTGTCATGCATACTCGCGGACGGCGGCCGGCGTGCTCAAGGCCAGTGCCTGCGGAAGGCGGTGTCATGCATACTCGCGGACGGCGGCCGGCGTGCTCAAGGCCAGTGCCTGCGGAAGGCGGTGTGAGAGCGGCAACCAGCAGGACAAGGACAACCATGCGCAGCGATTGCCAGCAGAACGACGATGCACGACGGTATGTACGGCACGCTGCACCTGCTGGCCTGCGTGCAGCGTGCTAGCTGACGACATATATAATGGCCCCATAACTGGTACACCAGAGGTGCGTCCTTCCCGGTCCTCTCGTACTAGGTAGGGAAAGGTCCATGTGAGGCGCGTCCTTCCCGGTCCTCTCGTACTAGGTAGGGAAAGGTCCATGTTGCTGGCGGTTCACATACTAGAATTTTCTGACTAATGGTTTATATATGTAGTGGAAATTTGACAATGATATGCTGGTTACCAAGTTCAACATGGCAATGTGCTAATGACATGGTACTGACTGCTCATGTCATGTGAGCCGCCGACTAGCATGCATACCGCACAGCGTGGGCAGGTAGGGAGGCTGAGCGGGAAGGGAGGTCGTCGGCTCGTCGCTGGGGTGGGTGGGAAGATTATATTGTGGGGAGAGAAAACATGCTGAGTGAGATTGGTTCTCTTCTGACTTGTGAGAGAGAGACTGAGAGATCCAGAGGGAGGCTTCGGCTGAGAGAAAGATTAAGATTTATTTTTCTTGTTGTTGTAGATTGAGTCGCTCTAATTTGTGCTCGTGCAGTGCTTGCTTGGTTCTAATCTTTGCACCTTCTTCTTCTTCTATTACCCTGAAACTTTCTTCTTTTTATTTCTCAACTCTCCTTGTAGTTTCTTCATTCTAGATTTCTGAATTAAACTGGTTATATATTAGCTTCATTACTTCCTTTCTGAAAATGATTCTAATAGTATTCAGTTCATTTCCTACAAAGACAGGAGTTAGAAAATGACACGTGGAGCCGCTGCTTTATTTTGTTTTCATGAAATTAAGAGGCAGCTGTATATTCATGCATGCTGGCCAGGTTGGTTTATTCAGTTGCTAAAACGAGAATGTACAACTTAGTTATTTTTCTAGATGGCTAGAAAATAGTGGTATCAATAAATCTTATTAGAAATTTCCATCATACTTAATAGACGTACAAACAGTTTGATTTTTTTTTGTGTGTGAAGTACACATTGTTTCCAACGTTTGGATTACTGCCCGCGGATGGGGGGCCTACCCGTTGGTCTTGGAGAAAAAACGAGACATTCTTAACTACCCTTTTTGTAGAACTAATTTGTGCCAATCTTTCATTTCTAAACGGAATGCATAACACATTTGTTAATTTACCATTCATGTTTTTTATAGGTTTTTTCCTACCTCTTGTAGACCTTCACTTTATGCTAGCTATTTTTATTTGGGCGAGTCTAGGTAGCGGCCGGCTGCTCGCTAGGCTTTGCGAGCGGCCGGCCTAAAAGGAAACTTTTGGTCCCCCAACTCCGGAAAAGGAAACACCAGCTCACCCACGCCAGGAAAGGCATCCCGACTCCCAGCCTCCCCGCCCACTTCCAGCACGTGAGCCCCGATCACGTGCATAGCATAAGACATGCCCAAGGCCCTCCCAGTCCATATGTGTGAACGTATTTAATTTGGGTTTTAGAATTTTAAAAAGCCATAACTTTTAAACCAAGCATTAAAAATAAAATCCGTTTTCACTGTCAGAATCCTCGCGACGTGCTTTTCGAAACTAGATCCCGCATGAGTATGTTTTGACGAATTTTTTTGTGTGCAACTTATGCCCCGTTTTGTGCAACTGTCTAACATTCGATGTGCAACTAAATGATAGTCCATGTGCAACTTTCTTCCTACTCATGGACTGTAGTTTTCACTTGGAGGGAGTAGCAACAGTAATCTGATGTCTGTGTAATTAAACACCAGTCTTTGCAACTAGATCTGGTAGCAAAACCAACTTCTATCTGGATGTGTGCAAATAGACACAAGGAAGTAGTTCTGTAAAAAAGTGTGCAACAAACAGCTCAGACCAGAAACATGGTGTGGATGTACTGTTTGTGCAAAAGGAGTACATATTTTGTGCAACCAAATCATGGATCCAAGCCAAAGGTGATTAGTTAACACTGCATACAAAATATTTGTTGTTCTTCAGAAAAACTGAATAAAAAAGGCTGACGACGCCAACTTATATTATGTTAGTTGTGCAACTACAAAATGCAGAGGATGTCAACTAGTTAGATGCTATTGTGTAACTAGAAAATGCTCAGGATGCCAACTAATTAAATACTCATGTGCAACTAGAAAGGCTGAGGGTGCCAAATCATTAGATACTCTTGGGCAACCCTCAAAAATTTGAAGATGGGACTAAAAAATAGTTTTCTTGTGGCTGAGGATGTCAATTAGTAGGATACTGTTTGTGCAAGTAGAAATGCTAAGGACGCCAACTAATTGAATACTCGTGTGCAACTATAAATCTTGAGGATGCCAATTAATTAGGTACTCTTGGGAAAAGAACTATTCAGCACTTGCATGACCAATCAAAAAATTGCACATTCACCTGAGGGTGTCAATGCAGCTACAAAAATATTAGGATGTCAACTAGTTGAATGGTATTGTGCAACTAGAAATACTGAGGATGCCAATTATCAGGTACTCTTGTGCAACTAGAAAAGACTGAGGATGCCAACTCATTTATATACTCTTTAGGACACATCATCATCCTCTCCATCCCCGTCATTATCAGTGCCACGTGGTTGTCGCTTAGCCGCCCGTTTTGAATTCCGCCAAGAGGTCCTATTTGGAGAACCCTACAATGAATAAAAATATTGAACTACAAAGAGGGTAAAAGAAAAGAGTATAAATAAATGGCCATAGGATAAAAGAAAAAGAAAATATGAACCTCTGTTTCACTATCAAGCACATTTCCTCTGGTTGCACAGTAATGTATCCCTAGTTGCACAGGATCCCAGACCCCAGTGAACTAAAATAAAATTAGTTGCCTAGTTTGCTTACAAATTTGGGATAGATTGCACAGCAATGCTCCTCAAGTTGCACAGAACTGACACCAAAAACTGATATACAAAGAACGAGAATTATTTGCGTAGTTTGCTTACAAATTGGGCTACAAAGATATGATAGATTGCTAAGGAACCCCTAGTTGCAGAGAACTAACATAAAAAAACTGATATTCAGAGAATAAAATTTATTTTGCCTAGTTTGCTTACAAAATTTGGCTACCAGATGTAATAGATTGCATAGGAAGGCATCCTAGTTGCACAGGGAAGCGCCCCTACTTGCACAGAACTAACAACAAAAAACTGACTTAAAAATTTGGCTAGTGGCTATGATAAATTGCACAGGAACAGGGCCCTAGTTGTAAAAAAACAGACTAACTACACATAGCAATTCCTCCTCTTAAAATCAGCAAAAATCATGCGAAAAGCACCTGGGGCTAATCCTCTACCTTCCCCTAGCAGATCAACTACCAATCCGCCACCATAGCGAAGCTTGCACGCTGCATCCCTGTAGTCCGACCCCAGCCACCATGGATCCGACCACCACACCCTTGTACTACACAACAAGGCCGGCGGCGGAAACCCCTGTTGCTGACTTCTCCATCCCGTCCACGCTCCTTTTCCACATCCATGACCACGATGCTTGCACGCCACCGCCCCATCCTCCACGCGTGACCACGACAGATCCGGTCACCCGCGCTCTTTCCCCCATCCCGGCCTGTTGGATCGATGGATCCGGAGAGAGACGGCCTCCTACCTGTATGTCCGCTCCCAAGAGCTCTGACGGCGCCCCCTTGGGAAAGTGGACAGTGGAGGAGGAGACGGCGGCGATGCTTCTCCAGCTCCACGGCCTCGGCTGATCTGCTCAGCCTGCACCGCTGGATCCGCCGCATCTCCCTCGACCTCCGGGAGCGTCGATGCCGGGAGGAGGAACGGGGCGGTAGCCACATCGCCGGGAGGAGGAGCTCGGCGGAAGGGCGCGTGGCCTGGAGAAGGAGCAGGAGGCGGGCGCGTGGCCTGGAGAAGGGGCAGGAGGCGGCCGGGTTGCAGGGAGGTGAGCAGCAGTGCGGGCGGCAGGTAGTCGGAGGTGGGACGAATGGATAAGATGCAAG